TAAAAATGAATCTACTGCCCTGTATTCTCTACGTACTACAGGCGTTCCCCAGGAAATTCTTTGACACAATTAGGACACTGACTACAGCATTCTTATGGTCATATTCACACCCCGACTTGCCAACTCTCTTCTGACTTAACCCCGGGAAAAAGGGGGGGGACAGGGCTCCCTAACATGGAGCCATACCATAAGGACATTCACCTAGCAAGGGTATATGATTGGGCAAACAAGACCATGACCCATCAATGGGTGAAAATAGAGGCTGCCTTCATGGAAGCTCCTATTATGATGATCCCATGGCATAAGTCAGGCCTCATATTCATACGACACAAACACCATCTGACGATCACAGCTACTCGACGATCACAGCTAATGGTCAACTATTACCCGAAACAAACACGTTTTATTATACCCTTCACCACTATACCCTCTCACACACAACCCCCTTTTACAAGCACAATTCTCCAACTGGACAAAACAGCTTAGCTTAGAGGGGTCTTATTTATGGCTCCAAGACATAGAAACATAGAATGTGATGGTAGATAAGAACCATTCGCCCCATCTAGTCTGCCCAATATTTCGAAATACTTTTAATTAGTCACTGGCCTTATCTTAAGTCTAGGGTAGCCTTATGCCTATCCCACGCATACTTAAACTCCCTCACTGTGTTAACCTCTACCACTTCAGCTGGAAAGCTATTCCATGCATCCACTACCCTCTCAGTAAAAGTAATACTTCATGATATTATTTTTAAATCTTTGCCCCTCTAAGTTAAGACTATGTCCTCTTGTTGTGGCAGTTTTTCTTCTTTAAAATAGTTTCCTCCTTTATTGTGTTGACTCTCTTTATGTATTTAAATGTTTCTGTCATATCCCCCCTGTCTTGTCTTTCCTCCAAGCTATACATGTTAAGATCCTTTAACCTTTCCTGGTAAGTTTTATCCTGCAATCCATGAACCAGCTTAGTAGCCCTTCTCTGAACTCTTTCTAGAGTATAATTATCCTTCTGAAGATACGGTCTCCACTACTGCGTACAATACTCCAGGTGAGGTCTCACCCGTGTTCTGTACAATGGCATGAGCACGTCTCTCTTTTAAAACCACTCCCTATACAACCAAGCATTCTGCTAGCATTTCCAGCTGCTCTATTACTTTGTCTTCCTACCTTCAAGTCATCTGAAATAATTACTCCTAAATCTCTTTCTTCAGATGTTGAGGTTAGTAGGGTATCAAATATCCTATACTGTGCCCTTGGGTTTTTACGTCCAAGATGCATTATCTTGCACGTTTCCACATTAAATGTCAGTTGCCACAGCTCTGACCATTTTTCTAGTTTACCTAAATCATTTGCCATTTGGCTTATCCCTCCTGGAACATCAACCCTGTTACATATCTTAGTATCATCAGCAAAAAGACATACCTTACCATCAATACCTTCTGCAATATCACTAATAAAAATATTAAAGAGAATGGGTCCAAGGGAACAAACTAAAAGACATACACTTCCTTTTTACAACACGGTCCCCTACGGGCACACAACATCTATACTATATGCAGCTCAACCACTTTATCCGAAGTTTGAAGCTACTGCCATATGGTGACAGAGAAACCACGACCGTCGAGAAATTATGCCTAACACACCCCCTCAAACGAAAAACATCCACCATGTACACGCTTCTACAAAAAGAGCAAACAGCTGAACTCCCGCAGCTCACAAGGAAATAGGCAAACAAACTAACATTAGACATATCACAAGACCAATGGCAAAATATCTTTCTCAGGGCCCACAAGACGTCCACTATCCTCACCACAGAATAAAGTAATTACAAGCGAATCACTAGCTGGCACTACACCCCAGCGAAAATACACAAAATATACGATGGAGCTAAATACAAATGTTTGAAATGTGAACAACCAGCCACCAACCCAACACATATCTGGTGGCAGTGCCCAATGATAACAAAATACTGGAGACGCATACACACACTGACACAAATGATTGCGGGTGTGCAAATCCTATTCTCACTGGAATACCTGTTCTTCCTTCTGCCACCCCCCGAGAACGACAAAAACAGAATACAGCCTTAACCACCCACTTAAAAATAGCAGCAAACAAAATCGCATCCCACTACACTGGAAACAGACTAAACCTCCCACAGTAAGGGAATGGGTTAAAAGGGTGGAAGGGGTGAGACAAATGGAAGAAATCACATTCTCCATTGCAAAAAACTATGCTACCTACACAAAAACATGGGAACCATGGACCAAATCCTCACTGGCAGAGACCAACACTCAAGACCTACAGGCTTGCTAGATAGACAACCTCAGAATCTTGTTATAGTAGGAGTAGAAGTAGTAATACATATACACTGGGAACACACACGGAAGTTCACAGGGATAAACAAGACAGAAACCATGACGCTCCATAATATCTATACCAGTGAAGGCTGAATACCTCTCAAAAAATAGTAACACACTCACACTGAACCACCCTGTTACAAGTTCCCTCTGTCTGCCGTGTTGTTACAATATGTCAGTTCCGGTCATCTAACTAAACCACAAAGTTACTCATTATATCTTTTTGTATGCCGAACTACTGTACAAACTATAAGACTCCAAAGAACAGTCATGTGTGAAAGGGTAAATGCTGTTCTGGACTCAACTCCCCTCGATTCTCGATCCTCCATTCACCACATCAATTGATGGGAGTTCTTGTTTAGCAAATAAGACACACAGACACGAAAGAGTGCTCTAACAAGTTCTCAATGAGTACATTTTCAGGGCTAGCATTTATACACAGTTTGTCATGCAAGCAGTGAGATCTATAGTGTCCTTGTAGTTAATAGTACATACTTGTCGGTCATGAAAAAGATAAGCATTTGGATAAAGACGAGACAGGAACATCCTAAGGTCAAGGAAGGTCATACATCCTGTAGAGGAAAGACCTTGGTACAAAATACATCTGCCAAAGTCAGCATAATTATTTCAAACATTATTTTAAAGCATATAAAGCAAAAAGAGTTAACCATTTCACTTCCTTACATTCCCCTCTTTGAGCAATACACTTGCTCATATCATTGATAAGATCTTCCCAGGTCAGAGAAACCTCCACATGGTATTTTCAGGGGTGCTAGTCACTCCCTGCGGGACTTTCATTAATTTCTTCACCTCGATTCCCATGTGGTAATTCCTAAGGCCCAGTTTTAAAGATGGGTTGATAGCCTCCAGTGGCAGAGAGGAGAATTTCCAATTGTTTCTGTTCTGCATTATGGATTAATTTCTGTATATTCTTCCTCAATGTACAAGTAAGATGGCAGTTATATAAAATCATACCCAATACAATCAGGACTATAATAGCAAGAGGATAGAAGAATAATTTGATTATCTGGGATCCAGTAGGGGACCAACCTGTAAAAGCATCGTACCAATGATGGGCTAAATCATTCTGAATTTGTGAACTCACCTTAAGGAGTTCTCCTTTTAGGATATGTGTGGCTACCTGTACTATAGCATCATTATGTGTAACAAGATGTTTAAACATATGTTGTTTTCCTTTCATTAAGGAGACAATAGTCTCAAGAGGTAGATGGTAATCTTCAAAAGGCAGAGAGCCTAATAGGGCATTAATATGTTTGTCTAAAGTGATTGTGTCGCTGAAATAATATTGGGTGTCATTAAGATCTAACCAGGTAACATTAGTCAAACATCCTGAAAAGGGGAGAGGTAGATTAATACTTGTATTACTAGTAATTATCTTTGTAGGGAGGTTAGTTGCCAAACAGATATGTCGTGTGCTTATTTCAGTCATGGTAAAATAATTTTCAGGATATATGTGCCATATGCACTTGTTAAGTTCATTTTGGAGTAAGCATGGTTCGTAAATAGGGGACGAGTGTCGACATGCATATCCTTTGTCAGTGAGAACACAGTGTTTAAGGGAATAGGTCATATTATCTTTGGGGAAAATATAGTCCCCTGTGTATGTGGGTGCCCACCAGGTTAAATTCCTGGTAAAGAGATCATAAACTGGTACTGGTAATGTGTTAAATTGACAAGCTAATTTAACATCCTTTAATGATGTATGATATAGTGTAAAATAGCATGAGCATGAAAAATGTGAAACATTACCAGTTAACCATTCATTGCATTTAGTGGATTGGGGTTTCAGAAGTAACCATTCATTATCTGTGAGGTTAAGCATCCCTCTAATCTTCTCTAGTTTAGGAATCATTAGTGTGTCTTCTAATGCCATTCTTTGTTGTTGCATCCATAAATACCTGATGGCACAAGTACTCCAGTTACCGAGATCTGTAGTGAATTTCATAGTTGCAACAGTTAATTTACCTAAATAGTTATACATTGATTTATCTAAATCCAATCCTGTAACCTGTGATTTAACAACAGTTGGAGCCCAGTTTGCAGTAGCATGGAAACCAGTCCCTGTATGCATGCTGGCCGTTTTTAACTTATTCTTGAGGGTCTCCATGTCTATACTATTTAGTATACCCATAGTGGTTCCAGCACCTCCTAACAGTGTGTCATACCATTCCCTTTTCTGCCTTTTGTTTGCTGTGTTACATATTGTTACAACAGGAGTGGTGATTTTTAATGACACATGTACAGCTTGTAAGAAGGCAGTTGTATTAACACATGTGGACGGAATAGGTGTGTGTGTGTCGTGGTTGACTTTTGGTTCTATGGTAGAGGATAAAGGACAGTAACAAGGTGTAAAAATATAAGATAGTGTACAGTTCTCAATCGCAGTGTCGTTCATAATGACTAACATTTGTCCCCTTTTCCAATTAATGGTACCAGTTGTATAATCATTATTAAAAATAATAAGGCCTGTCTGTTTACATTGATATGCAACCTTACTAATTTTCTTATAATATATATCCCAAACCTGTTTAGGTGGTTTTTTTCTTACCATCAGAACTTATATTAAATAAGGTGGCACAGATGCTGGTGTAATTAGCAACCTTAACTGTGCACATTTCTGCGTTATAAGATCTAACAATTTTCTGTGAACCTTCAAACAAACATAATGCATCGGTTTCATTAGCTGTGGACACATTCCATATGGGTAACTGGTACTTATAAGGGTTATTATTTATCCAGTTCATCCATATGTGTTCAGTCAATGAGTGCTTGCATATTACATGCTGATAGATAGGTGGTGGAGAAAGGTTCTTGAGGGAGCGTGTGTGACGAATGCTAGATGAGGGGCTAAGGCCTAATTGGGCTAGGGGTATTGAAGAATTGTTCATCATGTCAGAGTCATTTCTCCAGAAACAAACAGGTTTCAAACTTCCAATTTACTTGTACTCATAATGGCATTCAAGCAACAATATCAGAGGGAGTATAACAACTCCAGAAAGCATAGCGCAAAACATAATCTTGGTCTCAGGTTCGTATGATCCTCTCAATCTACGATATGGTGTGAAAGCCATGATGCTTCGCTAAGGGGAAATTCTTCTCTTTCCAAATGAGGAGTGGTGTTGTCTTCCTTGGTTCCCCTCTTTGGACACAGCTTCACTCGGGATGCGTGAATCCAGATGTCGTAGGAATCTGTGAGGACAGCGGTTCTGGTTACAGCAATCACAGTAGCAGGTGGTCCAAAAGGGTATCCTCCTTTCTTGGTCCTATTCAGCTGACGGATATACACCTTGTCACCGGGCTGATATGGATGAGTAGGTTCCTGTGAAGGTAAGGGAATCTGCGAAGAAACATTGCCATATATACCATTCAGTTTTATCAACAATTCCTGTACATAATGTTCTTGTATTAGCTGTAAATCCCCAGACATTATAACAAGCGGTTCCCTGGCCCAGGGTGTGGGAAAAGGTCGTCCCATCAGAATCTCAAATGGAGATAATTTAGTCACCTTGTGGGGAGTCATTCTTATCTCAGCTAAAATAGCTGGAAGATATTTTGTCCAATTTACCCATGTTCCCGCAGTAGCTTTCATAAGCTTCTCCTTAATGGTCCTATTCATCCTTTCAAGTACCCCTGAACTCTGTGGATGATAGGGTATATGAAACTTCCAGGTAACTTGCAAGAATTTAGCAAGTTCCTGGGTAACCTTACTAGCAAAAGCCGGGCCATTTTCAGAGTTAATCTGCAGAGGGCAGCCATACCTGGGAATAATTTCAGTAGCAAGAATCTTCACTACCGTCCTAGCATCCTCCCTAGATGTCACAAAGGCCTCAGGCCATCTACTAAACTGATCAACTATGACCAGTAAGTATTGCTGTTTCTTACCAATTTTGGGTACATGAGTAAAATCAATCTGTAAGTGTGTAAAAGGAGCAGCTGGAGGGGGCAAATGTTCATGCTGTGATTTGTGTGGAATATTCGGATGTGTTCTCATACATGGTTCACACGATCTTACAAAAGACTGTACATGCTGCCTGAGATTCATAATATAAAATGAATTCATGAGGAATTGGATGGTACTTGCTATGCTTTTGTGGCCAGGACCATGTGCCTGACTGATGAAAATAAAACAGCTGGCTTCAGGTATGCCCATCTTCCCCTCTTAAGAGAAAAGATCATTCTGATCTTTTTCTAAACCTTGTTTAATCCAAAAATCAAAGTCAGATTGCGTTGCAAAGGCTTGGAGCTGCAAAAGCAAACTGTCAGTAGGGCATGTGGGAGGTGTGAACATAGCAGGAAACATTTCATAGTAAAGAGTCTTGGCTGCAACTTCTTTTGCCACTTTGTCAGCCAAGGCATTACCTCTGGAAATGTCATCACTACCCAGAGTGTGTGCCTTGCAGTGGATTCAGATGGGAGTAGGATAGCATCTAGGAGTGATTGGATGAAATTTGTGTGTGAAATGGCTTTTCCATCGGCTCCTACAAAGCCTCTTTGTTTCCAAATCACACCAAAATCATGCACTACCCCATGAGCATATCGTGAGTCTGTGTAAATGTTCACTCGCTGTCCTGAGAAAAGCTGACAGGCACGTGTGAGAGCAATGAGTTCTGCAGCTTGTGCAGACGGCTGGAAAATAGTGTCAGCTTCAATGATTTTATCAGGTAGCTGTACCACGGCATAGCCTGTGAGGTATGTACCATCATTTGGTCTGGAGCAAGAGCCATCCACAAAGACAGTGGTCACATCCGGGCCACTGAGTGCTGTGGAGGAGAGGTCTGCTCTGGGAGATGAGGCAATATGTATTTGTTCAGTGCAATTATGAGGCTCAGATGGTATACACACAGAGTCAGAAGTGAGAATAGCATGCAAAACAGACATAGGACCAGAATTAACAGGACTATAGACAATAGACAGATTCTGGGTATTAAGAAGAATAATCTCATAACCACTTAAGCGCTGGGCTGTCATGTGTTGTGTGGTGAGATTTTTTATAAGCTGAGTAACCTGGTGACTGGTATGGAGTATTGTAGGATGCCCTAGTGTGATAGTAGTTGCAGTCTCAACAGCCATTGCACATGCTGCCAATGCTCCGAGACACGCCGGCATACCCTGTACCGGAGCTGGAACTACTTTGGAAAAGAATGCTATGGGACGCATACCGCCTTCGTGCTCTTGTGCACAGACCGCGGCCATGGTTTTACAGTTGTCCCGAGCATACAAATGAAATGGTTTACAATACACAGGTAGTCCTAAAGCCGGGGCTTGCACAATAGCAACTTTGAGGGCAATATACGCAGCTAGCATGTCTGGTGACCAGCAGACATTTTCAGGACTGTCAGAACGTACAGCCTCCCTTAGGATTGAGTCATAATGGGAGCATTCAAGGATCCATTGGCGGCAGTAATTAATCATGCCGAGGAAGGTGAGCAACTCCTTCCGAGTAGTGGGTTTAGGAATCCTCTGAATGACCTCAATACGTTTTGGACTCAATTGTCTGGTGCCTGAAGCCAGAACAAAACCTAAGTAATCAACCTTTGATTTACACAATTGCATTTTGTGTTTTGCAACCTTGTGACCCACAGTTGCTAAGTGTTTGAGCAAACTGACAGTATCCACAGTGCTTGCCTCATAGCTAGGGCTACATAACAACAAGTCATCAACATATTGCAAAAGGACGGAACCATGACCGGGGGTCCATGTTTTTAGAGTATGTTGGAGTACCAGCGAATAAACGGCTGGGGAATCCACATAGCCTTGGGGTAAGCGTGTCCAGGTATACTGACAGCCTTCAAAAGTAAAAGCCATAAGTAGCTGTGTCTCTTGATCAATAGGTATAGAAAAAAATGCATTACTTAAATCAATGACAGTGAAGCAAGTGGCATCATGTGGAATGGCTGTAATGAGGGATGTCACATCAGGGACAATGGGTGCAATGGGCACAATTAAACTATTCAGGGCTCTAAAATCCTGAACTAAGCGATAACCATTACCTTTAGGAACTGGATTAATAGGTGTGTTATATGGGGAAACTACTGGCTTTAGTATTCCCTGCTAAAGATTGGATCATGGGGCGAACTCGCTCAACCTTGGCTTCTGACAGGGGGTACTGTTTAAGGTAGATAGGAGTTACAGCTGGTTTTAGTTTGGCTTTGTAAGGGGTGCAGTTGACAAATCCTACATCTAACTTAGATGAAGCCCACACGGAGGAAGGAACATCAGACAAATCAATAGTTTCAGAACACAACATAGACACATCAATACCACCAGAGGGCATGCAAGTAATAGTAGCTCCCAGAAACCAAGAAGATCCCTTCCCAGCAAATTAACAGGACATTTAGGTATTAGACAAAAAGGGTGCACAGTAGAAGAACCATTAAGAGGACAAAAAACAGACAGTGGTGGTGTGACAAAAGTGGGGGTTGACACTCCATTAATACCCGATGAAGGTGTAGACTTTTCCCTTGTCCCCTGATAATAGGTATTACCAAAAATGGCAAGGATCTAGCTTCTATGGCCAGAATACAAAAAGGCTGATCATCATTAGTGGAGGACAAAAGTGGAAAAGTTGGAGTGTCACCTTCAAGGCATCCCTATTGGGGCCATGGGATGTGATGGGTGTGCTGGTTAGTGGTACCTGTGAATGGCCCTAATGCATTTTGGGTTAGCTGGAGCGAGGGGGGAGGCGGAAGTGCTGGACAGTGGTGTTAGGAGTGGGCCTGGTGTTGTTCTTGCCTACCGGGCATATTTTGAGAATTGTGGGGTTGTTGGGGCTGCTGGGGTTTCCTTGGGTGTGGACACTCATTCCTCCAGTGGCCATGCTGGCCACAGTTGAAACAAGTGTTCCTGTCTATTCCTCCTTGGTTACCCCTGCCCCTATAACCCTGATTTCCCTGTCTCCATCCCCTTGCCCCTCTTTGACCACCCCTTCCACAGGCTCTATGTGCTCCATCCCATCCTCTCTCTCGGGCCTGTGTAGGTGGACAGTGTTGCAATCCCTGAGCATAATAAGCAACCTTACTTCCTGAATCTTTTCTTAAATCAAAACAACCTGCATTTTCCTTTTCTATAACCTTGGTAAGAAAATCTGAGCCACCCAAATTGGCCCAGTCTGAAATCAACTGTTTCACAAGCAAAGAATACTGTGGCAACATATTACCAAGGCATGACTGTAGCATTTTAAGGAGATCCATATCATCTCCAGACTTTAAACCTGCCTCATCCTTCCAACACTTGTAAAATCTCTTTACAAAAATACCAATCTCTTCCTTTGCACCTTGCTTACATGCCAAAGCAGTGGATATAGACTGCTTATTCTTCCATAATCTCAACATTTCAGCTTCCACCTCATCCCACATTTTAGCACATCCTGCTGAAGTACTAAACTCATAAACACCATCACTGCCAGCCACTCCAACTCCAGTACTGTTGTCTGTCTCACTGATAGAGGATACATTAGACCAATCCCAACCAGAATCGGAGTCATACCCTAATATTCCATTTATAATTAACTGTATGTCTATCTGTGTCATGTTCTGTCCTAAACACATTCTTTTCAGATACATTAGGCATGCAGAGGGATTAGTACGGGGGTTTGGGGCACCTTGAATAATGTCCTTGAGTACTCCGGGATTAATGGGTTTCATTATTAACTGATTACCAACAGTCATAAACGGGGCAGTAAGATCAGCACCTTCTAATTCTGGAATCTCTACATCATCATCACCTTGCTTATGTACATGTGATTTTAACACCTTGCCACTTTTAAGTTTAACTCCTGTTTGTACTGTTAATTTAATTGTACCTGGAGGTGGCGGTGGGTATTCTATATCAGATTCTGGTGTAGATGATGATTCCTGTAATTGCTGTGATTGTGAATTAACAGCTGCAGCAATGGAA